TTGATGAAAGTAGGTGTAAAACATTTTCTGAAGGCTATAAACGAGAGTTTTGGCCTCCTGTATGTCCTTGAGTTTTCGCGAAGAAATATACATATTTTAGTTTCTAAAGGAAATGGTCAGAGACACCTGTGGAGGCAGATGGAATGGTTACCAAGAGCATCGTTCGACTAGCATGGTCAGGACCTGGCCAACAGAAACCTTTCGGCGAGGACGAAAAGCGAAGAGGGAGTTTGGTCAGCCTGGTTTCAGGTGTGTTGTTGGAAGATATGTTTCGTAAGGTATATCTCCCAAAGCTGCGTTCACACTGCTCATACAAGGACTGTCTGCAAACCTTGTCTGGAGAGTTTCCTGTATGGCGGTAAAATTAGTCATAGAAAGACTGTCCGCAGACATGGTCGAAGCTTCGAACATGCTTCAGGCGCATGGAATTCATTATGTCTACAGCGAATCCCGTTCCTTTTGTATAATATAAGAGCAGTGCGATTGCGGGTTAAGCATCCAAGGGGATAGAGATAAGTAGATGGTGCTTCAAGCCCATTTTGCGCTGAATCGGACGATGTGACGTCAAATAGACGTTACCTGCTGGATCAGGCGAAGACAATGGGACCCCGGTGGCGCATGCCGGATCTACTCATTAAATACATTAGAGTTTAGTTCCCGATAGGGTTGTGTCTCTTCCAAACTGTCAAGTTTCATTAACTCCACTCGGCTTATCTCTATACGCCTTTTCCACAAGGGCGCAGCCAAATTGAATGTCGTCACTTCAGGTGTGCGGTAAAATTTCGTGCTGATCCCTCCACGCCGCTGGAAAGTGTTTACGAAAAATGCCTTGTACACATTATTGTTTTGTCTCACCTATATTTTCTCACATATTCCTAATTGAAATGTCCTATTACGACGAAAGCCTCCTCATATATATATATATATATATATATATATATATATATATATATATATATATATATATATATATATATATGAGGAGGCTACACGCACCCTGAAACATCTTCAGTCAGGATACAAGCAATGAATCAGAGTTTACTGGGAGAAATGAACCTCATGCGCTGTCACCTTTAAAAAAAAGTAGTTAGTCTTGTTTTTCCTAAATCAAAGAGGGAAGATTCTTCGAATAACAGCAGCAATGAGCAGACGTCAGTGCCGCTACCGCTTGCAACGAACGCGGCAGCGATGGTGCTCCGCTTGAGATTTCTCACGTCCGCCGAAGACCGCTTTCATCCGATCCCGAACGTCCATCCACTGACGAGATAATCGCCGCTCGTTGTTCCCATAGCAGAGTGGAAGTTGCTCGCGGGAGACGCCTTCCCCGCTGCCGCTCTTCCTCGTTAAACGTGTGTTCGGGTCGTGCCCATGCACGTCCGTGTGCCTGTGTGTGCTCGCGTGCGAAGCGCCGGACTGCATCGCTCGCTCGCGTTTCATCTCGTCACACGAGGGCCGGTGTCATGTCGAGGCGTGTAATAGCAGGCGCGCCGTAATAAGGTTGACACCCCCCGTTGCCCGGCGCCCCGTGAAACAAAGGCCAGCAGCGGCGCAAAAAAACCAGTCTCTCTCTCTCTCTCCCACACGCGTCTGCTCGGAACAAACAAAGCTAGAGCAGAACGAGCAGAGCGTATTCGTCGTGTTTGATACGCTCCGTTGTGCCTCGCGATGGACCGCAGACGACCAACCATTCGGCCCAGTGCGGCGCTCTGCGGTACAGGCCTACGCCGGTGAGACACCTCCCGCAGGTCACGTGACCCTCACTCGGCAGCGGATTGGCTGAGATTGGCTCATAGCGGCCTCTAGGGTCCATCTTAAGGTGAAACCTACTATAGTTGTTTTCGGGCCGCGTACAATGGCTGGGAGAGCGCTCCAGTTCGGCTAATTTTTGCGTCCCTCGCCGGCCCGCCTGCTGCTTCCCGAAGGTTTCGGTTCGGTTGTCAGAGCTGCCTCTTTTTCCGGTGCCTGCTCGCTCGCTGCTGCTGCCGGAGGGCTTCAGGCAACGCAAACAAACTCCGTATTGTTGCTTGCCACGAGTCTGCCTGCTCAAACAATGCTTGTTTGTAAGCGGTAGAACAAACCCGGCAGCTTCACAAAACAGAACACAAGGAAATTAATAAGCTAAATGGCGACGTCCGTTTTACCCCCCCCCCCCCCCCCCCCCCGCCTCTTTTCTATCGTTGTGCGCAGCCCAAGGGCTGGCGACGCTTATTTTACGTTTCGTTGGTGCTCCTTAGTTTCACGTTTCATTTACTTATTTTATATATGCAACTGGGTACGTTAAATGGACCCGGAAAAACGGTACTAGAGAAGCAGTAAACGGAGACGCTTGGGGTCTTATGTACTTTAATAGGGATAAAAGAACCTATAACGAAATGTGCGGAATTTTCCGATTAAGGCGGAGAAAAGGGAGTCGTGTTTTTTGTGTTTCGTGACAGATGTTCCTCTCGATGGCTCTAACAGCCGAATATTGGCACAGTTCAAAAGCAATAAAACAGGAGTGATCATTAGTGACTGATTACTTGTCGTCTGACATCTTTAATGTGCTCCCCCAGCGGTGATCGCACGAACGCAGGCTCATACGATGCTCATCTAAGACCGTCGACACCAGCATTCTTTGTACACTTTTCAATTGGCTACGGTGAACTGTCATACTGGGAAATCGATTCTCTTCAGACGTGCAATCCGCATTCTGCGCTTTTGCATTGTTGGGAACCAGCGTGTTTCAAGCGACCACGTTGATAGACGCCACTACCTTATGGTCACAAGGACACCCTAAACCGGAGTTACGTTTAAGTATGGTGAGCAGTTGCTGCCAACTAATCCGTAGATACACCAACATCTTTAAATGCAGTTAACACTTCACTGCAGTTAAGGGTTCTCTTGTACCTAGAGTACTATAACTCTGCTAAAGTGAACACCCTTTGGCGAGAACTTTCCGATAGCACAAGCATTGTTCGGTTTCCAGTTGCAAAGCTGAGGGCGTCTAATAGAAGTCCCTTTGATTACCCATTTAATAGCGAACCAGCATAGTCGACGAACAATTTAGGTTCGTAGGCGGTTATGGCAGGCACGTAGCCAGAATCTTGATTCGGGGGGGGGGGGGGGGGGGGGAGTGGGGGCCCCCATGACAAAATACTATATGAGGGGGAGGGGGAGATGAGGCCCCAGCAAAATGGAAGATTTCGGGGTGGGTCCCGGGTCCCATGGGTACCCCCCTGGATACGGGCCTTCGCTATGGATTTCCACGTCTATGCAACTGGCGACTCGGTACTCAACAACAAAATTATTTCTAGAACTGTCAGTGGTCGGGACCTCATTAAAGAGGGTCGAATGTGATGTTGCGTGATGATCGAACGCAAAAATAGCGTTAGAGAGTGTTTTCTTTGGTAGCTTCCCCAGGAAGTAATCCACCAGCGATTTATGCGACCGACAGAGGGTTACGGGGCGACAAACAGCCTCTTGCTGTGGTTCCCAGTCCGGTTACTTCATTTAGGTCCCTCGGCCCAGAGAGGGAACACCTGCCGCCCGCTAGAGCCTCTACAGCAAAATACAGACGTCAGCTGGACAAAGTAAGAAACAAAAAATAAAACGGGGGGCTTTGGAAAGAAAGAGAACGAAACTCGCGAAACAAACAGACAGAGGAGACAGGGCATGCGTCGAGCCGCGCCCACGGAGTCGCTTCATCAGACGCCCGTTTTGCTTCGTCTGTAGCGCGCCGCCATCGCGAATTACGGGAGTGTTCGCCACGGGGGAACACACGCAAACGAAGCGGCTCCGGAGGGGGGAAACACAATCATCCCAAGTCCAAAGGGTTGCGGAGAGTCGCACCGGGGGCCATCTGGCCGGCGGAGTCCAGTGCCCGCCCAAACGGACATCACGTGGGCGGCCGCTTTTAATGAACGGCCAGGGTCGCCCAGGGTCAAGCCAGGGATGAGGCAGCGCGAGTTTGGGACTTTTCTGCGTAAAGGGGGCTCCGGCTGCTGCGTGACTATTGAGCGGGGGCTCTGCATGAGTACGTCCATTCGTGTCCGGAGGACTGCGCGATCGTGCATGCATGGTGGATGGCGGCAGTGGTTACCAACTGTTATGGCAACTTTATTGTTACGTTAGGCTAGGTTACGGCGCGGAACGACATCGATGATTATTTCGGTTAGTCTTAATGAGGTTCCGATACCGGCTAACCGGATTAAATTGTTACGTTCAAGAGATGACTGTAAGCCAGTTAAGCACGTGTACTTTTTATATGTGTTCTCTAAAGAGAGGCGAATTATCGCAAAGAGAGCTCTTTAAAACAAGCTTTAATGAAAGGACGAAACTAATATTCGCCACGCTAGACGTTTCAAATATTCGATTTCGTGTACCTATAAAAGTTAATTCAGCGAAGCGGTAGATTCTGTCGATGATACTGGCGTAGCCGTGCCAGTCAGTTTGTCGAACGACGTTTCATCGACAGATTGTTTTGTCGACACTACGATGTTTCGTCGACAGTATTCATTTCATTGAAAGTTTTCTGCGATCGTTTTATCGACACACCCTGAGACGTTTCGCCGAAAGCGTCCTTCCGCACACATCGCCTCGGTCACCGCCATCCGGATGGTGTCCTAGCTTGCCAACCGCTTGACGGTTCTGATGAGGCTTGGCGCAATCTGAGGACTAGGATTACAATAAATTTTCCACGAGCGAAGCGAAGCAAAGCGTGTGGCGATGCGCCTAGCGCTTTTAGTGTGCAAACCGAAAGGCCTAAGATAAGGGCTCGCCAATTTGTTTTTGTACCATCGGAGCTAGTTCCGGTAAGCTTCCAATGAACAAAATAAACCCAGAAATGAAAATCAATCCACCTAGCAAAATGATACGTTGTCGACGAAACGTTCCATGAGCATGTGTCCACGAAACTAGTTTCCACGAAGTGTCAAAGCGTGTACGAAATATGTGTTGATGAAAAGTATTCAACGAAACGTACTTCCACGAAACGGGCTTCGACGAAACAGTAAAGACCCCAGAGTGGAGCCTCAAGCATTTCGTTCTCGTTACCGCAGGTCTGGTTCCAGAACCGGCGGGCCAAGTGGCGCAAGCAAGAGAAGGCTGCGGGCAACGCCCTCCAGTCCCAGGGCTACAACCCGTACTCCACGGCCCAGTCCCTTAGCTCGTCCACCCCAACCATGGCCGGCGCCCACCCGCCACCCTCGGTGGCGGCAGCAGCCGCAGCGGCCGCCTTCGGCTCCCTGTACGGCCGAAAGCCTCCGTCGGCTGAGGCATCCCTGCTCAACCATGCCCGCCTCTCGCCGTACCTCGGCGCCACTGGCATGCCATTGCTGACGCCCGGCCACGCCTTCTTCCCCATGAGCCCGTTCGGGCCCTTTCTGCCGCCGTCGCTGCCACTCTACCAGACGCCTGCGCCTTTCCAGAACTGGCTGGCCACCCTGTCGGCCCACAACCGACAAAGGACGGACGTCGTGCCGCCGTCCGAGGTTCCGGTGCCACCAACGCCGGTGCTGCCACCCTCTCCACCGTCCCTGGTGCATCACCAGAGAGTGCCTCCTCCTCCACCGATAGTGCCGCCGCCACCCGCGCCAGCCATGGTGTCCGTCCCCCCGCCGCTACCGGCCACGGCCGCCCAGAGACCGGTCTTGAGCAGCAGTCCGGCGAGGTCGTCGTCAAGTGTGTCGCCCGGCATGAACACGACGGGAAGCTTGTCGCCGTCGGCGTCGCCTCCCAGCGGAGATCGGAGGAGCTCGAGCATCGCTGCGCTTCGACTGAAGGCGAGGGAACATGAGATTCAGTTGGAGATCATGCGCAAGGCCAATGGCGAGATTGCCAGCTAGCCCCTGCAGGAAGAGAATCTCGTGGTACTGCCGTGTTTTTGGGAACATTCCTAGTTTTCCTTAAGCACGCATCGTGGATTGTTCTAATTTGGTCTCCTTTGTGGAAAAGACCTGTAAAAAAGATCCGAGTTCTCCAAAGACGTTTGCTGCATCCGCAGAGTTTCTGCGTCAACGACAGATCCCAGCGTTTGAACGTCAGGAACGAAAAAAAAAAAAAAAACTATTTTACTGAACTTTTACCGTGGTCCAACAATGAACTCTTCAATAATGGTGTTTTTTTTTTCTTTTTTTTCTTAAGCATGCCTTACTTGGTGAAAGCCTTCGGACTTGAACTACATTTCTGCGAAGAATTGTCGTGCTTTTTTCCCTCATATACCAGGATGCTTCGGAGTGCTCATGTACTATCTATGTAGACGTGGTGCCTTTCTTGCAAAGTGAGGAATGTCGTTATTTATTATGTCTTCTCTATTTTATTACGCACGTGCCTTAAAATTGGGACAGACTTCGAGAGTTGTGCCTATGTACGTTACGCCGGGGGTCGAGCCAAAAATGTTGACGTCCAACTATCGCGGATGTACTTCATTTGAAGGAAACCTTCCACCACGCACCATAAATACAAGCCCGGTCACGGAAGCTTTTATGCAGCAACCTAAAAGAAAAATTTCTCAGCATGTCGAGATGTCAGTGTGGTAAATACTTGAAAGGAAGCCTGGTTTCTAAAACATGGCAAGACCACAAACTGCACCATGACAAATGATCACGACAGCAATCTTCGTCGGTAAACCTAACACAAGGCCAAGTGCACGTTGAACACCGGTGGACTACTGTGCGGACAGTGTACCAGACATGACTCCTTGCCTTCCTTCCATCTTGACGTGGACCATCCGTAAAGGCTACAAGCGCGAGCTTTTGCGCTTTATCGTGACTCAGCCGCACGAGTGCTCGTGCAGCGTGATCACCAGTTAAATCTACCCGCTCGCCATTGTTGCCTTTGCGGTCATTTTGTATTGAGGCAATACGATATATACAAGCTTTCATTAAAAGGATTGTCCGGTGAAATGTTGTCTGTCAGAAAACAATTAAAATATATTGTCGTAGCTTTTAAATATATAATCCGCACAACGTTAGAATTTTTCGTTCTCCGAGGTACAAGTACTTCAATTTTAAACACAGCCCAACTGCTCAAGTTGCATCATCAAAACACACAGCATTTTCTTCGGCAACAGCGGAAGCTTTGACATAACTCAGCTCTTGACTGCGGTCTCAGTAAAATAACTTCGTTTTTAAAAAGACAAAATTTACGGTTTTGAGTGAAGCTAAATTCTTCAACAATTAACTTTGTACGCACCATAACCTATGTTGACAAAAAAAAAAAACAAAAAAAAAAACGGGAATAAATCAACGCCCACGACCCGACGTTACTATGCCTGATGTGACGCCACGGCACGACCGGCCATGCCCACTTGCCGAATTCGGCGTGAAGTTTTGTATTCATGTTCATCATTGATTTAATGAATATAGGGGCATCCTTTTAATGAAGTAAATACCACATCTGACTGTATTCAGGTCCTCTCTACGTGACCATGCGCAAAAACTTTGTAACTTCCGGATGTCACCGGATAATCTCTTTAAAAAACAAAACAGAAACAGAAACAAAACAGTCCACGTAGCACGTGATCCTACAAAACAAACCCTTGCATCGTTCTTTTTTTTTATGTTTATAGCTGGAAAGAATAAGATGCTGCCATGTTTAGAGGAGAAGTCGAGTCCCCCTGGCGGGGTCCATGACAGACACTTTTCTAAAGGGTGCGCCATCTAGTAACTGCTGCGCCAATCATCCCCGTCCGCCATTGTGTGGGCACGCGCCCTGAGCACGTATTGGACACGAGAGTGTCGTCTGCGTTCGGCGCGGACTCGGATTCAATCGCATGTTTTGTGCCCAAGAAATGGCCGCCGCCAGTGTTGCTGACGAAGACAAAAATCTTCAGGGACGTCTCAAGACAGAGCCATCCACACATGCGTTTGTAAGTCTGTGATGAAACATAGGTCGAGTACAAAGTGGTCCTTAACTGCTGGCGTGTCTTACTCAGATATTTTTGCATACAAGCTTCTCTTTACAAAAGTGAAAACGCCCCTTCCATACTAAAAAAAAAGAAAGAACGCCAGTGCCTCATAGCCTGTCAGGTGAATACCGAAAAAAGGAAACGGAATCACTTTGATGCCTTTTTGTCTCGATGTAAAGACGTTCTTTGTCACATGAAGTGCTGACGGCTCATTACGAAGCAAAGCAATAAAGAATTTCGGGCGTCACAATGGCTTCATAGTATTGGTCAATTAACGCTGCTTGTTCGAGCTATGCCACCCAAGCATAAATGAACCTAAGATGGTAAAAAGGCTGAGGTATCGTCACTCAGCAATAACGCGTGTTTTTTAATGCGTTGGAATAAAATCACTCTAAATTAATTACTTCCGTATTAGTTTTGGGCAAAATAACTCAACGCTGAATCTAACAGAATCCTCAAGTGCCTGTTAACGTCCGGAGCACTCAGTATTAGGCGAAGTTGTAGCTTACATGTAGTGTCAAGACAACGCGCGCAGTGAAATTAATTGAGCAGGCTTTGTTTTTGAGCTTCCTACGACATACGAACGAGCACAAATTCGTTTTCAAGCTTGGACTCGGTATGCAATCTTATATGGAGCCCGAAAAAACATTAAAACGATAGTAACTCCATTAGTTTGTTTAAAGTTTGCAGTTGAGATAGGAAGACGCGTATAAGCCGATTAAACAAGACAAAAAGACATTCACGGGAAAAAACAAGTCGCACAAGAGATCCGGAAGAGGCGCCTCGCCACCAAGAGTCTGGATGTTGTTGTCATGGCGTGGCAGTCGCAGGTAGCATGTATATTCTGTGTCAGTACATTTATAGAGTAAAGCTTAATTGGAAACGTCATTGAATCACAAAAATCTTGACTTATACTCCTTAACTTCTGTAGTTCCCGTCTCGTTTTAGGAATGGATTTGCACGAGCCTCCTAACTAAATTCGGAATATAACATTTTGTACAATGTAGAGAGCTGTGAACCTCTTCACATTTTCTTTTGTTTTGTTTTGTTTTGACCTCTCCGTAACTGCCTAAACATCTCCACTCAACCGCAGGAGGCAACCTCACGGAGTGTGGTATTGGGATTATGGGATCCTCGAATCGAGCCCATAGGTGCGAGGTTCGAATGAGAAGAACGTGAAATTTGTCGAATTTGAAAGCAGTATTTCAACGAACCTATCAGCAAGCGTCCCATGCTTCGGGATCTAGTTCTATCTTGGGCTGCTATCTTCTACGGAAAATGCAGTTCTTGGTCCATCCACTCTGGTAGTGTTTACTTTAGCTGAATTTTGAGGCACTAATGAGTGGGCAAAGTGTACCGGCTGGCGGCCTCTTGTACTATGAATTACGATGCATTTTGTTTTTCTATGTCTCAGAACTTGGAATGAGACATCCCTAATTTCTACGAAGGCCGTCAAGTTAGTGTCGCTAAGGCCTTCTAACAACTTCCGGGTACCTTCACAAGATATACGTTTACGCACAAATGTCCGTTTTTTGTTGTGTTTTTTTTTTTGTTGTTTCGTATCGTAGTAACCAGACCATTGTGCAGCGAAAGTCTGTCAATATTGGGGCAAAGCGACGTCTTCTCAACGTATCTCATTAACCCGGGCCTTTCATAGGTGCTCAAGCAATGAGCGAATCAACAGGCAATCCGGCTTCTTTCAAGTAGGGGGCCACGTGGCTTTCCGATTCTCAGAAAATATTGAATCGAAAGGTAATAAAAATATTTTGGTGACTTCCGTACTGCATTACCTCAAATAGCAGAATTTATGTTTTCCTTGAAATAATATAAATACATTTATAAAACAAGAATGACAAATTTTTAGGGCAGGCATTCCTAGAGCCCACGTCAAAACGAGCTTGAAACGTTCAAACTTACCTAACGTCGTCATTTCAGCACGTAGTACGTTGTTTTGAACTGGTATTGTGATGGAGCTATCGGGTTAAACCTAAATGTCGAATGTAAAGTAATATATATATATATATATATATATATATATATATATATATATATATATTATTGAAAATTTGCTGCATCTTGCGAAAATTATAATGAACGCGATATGACATGCCTGAAATATGTGACATATTTTGAGGCACTTAAAGCCAGTTCATTCCTTTCTACCGTATATGCAACGTGATTATAGGATGTCAAGGAAACGCAACGATCAAAAGCAGATATGCATCTCGTGTTCTCGAACGGGGCGTGCTTTCGTGTTTTCTAACCAGAGGGGCCTGTTTTGGCTTGTGTCTGCCCTACAATGGAGTGTCGTGTGACCCCAGAACTGCGCTTGCACCTGTGAACGCTCCACCCCCCGTTGTCGTGATGAACGACCGGGCGAACTCGCACGAATGTTCAACAACTTCTTCCATCAAATAGCAACCGACGCATTGTTACGTCCTACACATGTTCTCGGATAATAAGGCGTGGTTTGTTGGAACAATAAAAGTGATAAGATTTATTTTATAAAGACAAAAAAAGTGTTGTTTGAATGTCTCGTCCACCACATTTTTCTTGGCTGTGAATATGCATGTGCTCTAAATGTGGTACTTGGAGCGTTTTCGAACTCAATTGCTTTTTTTGAATTGATATTGCTAAGATATTTACAACAAATAGTGCTCGTGCTTCTACTCTCCAGCAGAACACTCGGAAAAAGAATCAATGGGATTTAGAGATTGCAGTGACTTTAATGACTCGTTAACTCCACTACATGGCGAATGTCCAGGCCGTAATAATGTTTTCAATCTCATAAAAAAAGACTCTTTCGTGAATCCAAGCATAACGTTTCATGTGATCTAATCATGAAATTGATATAGCAGGCCTTGATTACAGGGCAAGAAGTTTTTTCTTGGTCAAGTCATTCGATGAGCTCCATCATGTAGGGCAATAGTTGGGTTTCCGATCGGATTTAAGGAA